ATATGCCAGATGCACCAAAAAGTTACCTAATGTCTGTAAATAACCAAGCACGAAGTGTGAGTAATGACAGTGTGGGGCAAACGCGTGCCCAGATCAACATATATGACACGGACAAGGCGAGGTTTTCAAAACTGTTGGCCGTTCTATGACAAACAACTCCAGTTACACAAGATCAATTGCGCGATGATGGCGCTGTGAGAAACCGAGGGCACAGGGCTGCCCCATACGCAAAGAGCGCGAGCGTATTACTGTCAAAATGAACTCGACGATGCAGAATCACAAAGATTCGATCTAAAGAGGGATGCGAGACCCAAGTGAAGCAAGCAGAAATTAAATAGGCACATCCCAGGCATGTCTATCAGGCTAAACATTAAAGGTGTTCTCTAATGTAGCCCCAGTGGCTCTAAAGCCTGATGCCGAGTTCAGGTAGAACTTTTAGCTGTATTCATCCGAAAACTGCAGTAACTTCTATGGTTGTCGTCGATGTTTTCGCGATTTCGATGTCTTTTATTCACGAGCGTAACGTCGTCGATTCCGCGTTCTCGGAACATCGCTACTGCTGTAACAACAATAACAGCGGCAATCAAAGGAGAAAAATCCTGAATAGAAAAAGTAACAAAGCGCCAGAATGAGGCATGGACGTGGGGAGGAGGGTGTAGGCAGATAAGGAATTCTCGAGTTCAGTACACGTCACTCAAAAATCATCTAGTTCTGGACGTGCAAAACGCTTTCTGACGCCCTTGATAATAGAGAACGGTTCGTTAGCTGTTGTTATAAGGTTGATTTGATCGAGGATAATAAAATAGGCGATCTAAACATTCGGAGAGAATATTTCTTTATTGTTAGGCTTTTAAATCCACATGAAGACACGCATGGGCAATACATAAGACGTAACAAAAACTAGAAGACCAGCATTAGGCGACAGATGGGTGTTTTCACCGATCGCAGTATAAACGTCTTATCACTTTAGCGATACACGTCGTTACTGTTCGGAGCGTTAGGAAATTTTACGTCCAAACGCTATGCGTACAGATAATACACCGCCGCTTTATATGCGTTCCTGACTGGCAGTAGCGGCAATTGCTATCTGTGGACATATTTGATCTCGGCTGGTTCATTCTGGTGGAAAACCCCTGCCAGCGAAGAAGACACACGAAACGAACAAGAGAGTTTTAATTCGTGGATGAAATTTATATATAATCACTAACTATACGCGATTACAATGCCCATTTGGCATCTAATTATTTTCGGAATATTATTTTCCTAATCTGCGCCAGTCTACGTCAGGCGATAGACATAGGTTTAAATTCAATCAAATACGCTGCATACACACAATCCCAATAGAATTGAATCTTGGACCAGAAGCAGGCCAAAACTCCCAAAACTGAAGACGGCCAAATAGCTTTAAAGGGTCAGAAAAGCGTCAGAAATTACCTATTAAAGCTCATTTCGACAATCTAATTTGGCCTTAATATTCCCTTATTTAGAGCTGCCATCAATTGCTGTGTAAAAAAAGCTAAGCGTGGCAGAAACATCTTTGAGCTACCTTGATAAGTTTTGAAACTCTCTTCAGATTCACCCCATTGAGGTTCTGCCAGCTTACCTTATTAGGGCCTTTTTCAGAGGCCTTATGAGCACTGGCAGTAACGTCAGTTTAGCTAAAAATAGGTAGATTTTATTCGCTAACAGAAAAAGATCAGGAACCTGTGCTCAGGTTCCGATAATGACGCACAATCAACGTCCGCCATGACAAGTCTATCATTTCGTTCTGGAAAGAATTAGGTTTCATTGCGTGCCGATACAACAAATAGCCCCCTTTTAAGGACACCATTACGTATATATAAAGCTTCGCGAGCGGCAGCAGTGGCTCAACGTCAATATACGGAAATGTAACAGTCTTTCATTTTCATCAATTGAAGTAGAGAATGACGGAAAGAAATATCATGAAACATATTGTATCAGATGGTCGGCCAGTGACGATCGTACCGCTGTCCTGACGACATGCAGACGGGAAAAAAGATTGTGTTCTTTATCTAATTAGGGCTGTAATTGAACCTACGCCTTAGATTAAATTGCCGTATGAGCGACAAATGGTTTCCATTGTTCGACAAAGTGACGGCTACGAGACGGGACAAAAGTTGCGCCATTAACTCTCGAGACTTTACACGGCTGCTTCTCTCATAGAATATAAATAGCGTAGTCGGATGGTTAAATTCGTTGTTGGTAATGTGTTGCCTTGCGGTTTACCGTGGGAATAAGCTCCAGCCAAGACGCTGCCTGGTTCGCCGCCATTTGCCGCTAATAGAAAAAGTTGACAGGAACAAAATCGACGAGTGAACGGCATTGTATTAAGGACAACGAAAACAGCCAGAAGATTATATTATTCCATTCGTTGTTTTTCGTTGTCTATTGTCGTACATATTAGTCTGTTCTGGCGGTAATGGTCTCACTAGATTTCGCCCGCTTTTAATTGCGCTAACGCTGTGTATACGGATAGACTTGAGAGTCGACCGGAGACCTACTAGACAATGCGACGTTTATAAGGTCGGTCTTCTTTCTTGCAGCGAACATTTACGCATGGCCTCTTATTTTTCGACGTAACCAACACGTTTATATAAAAACTAATGAAAATAAAACACCAATGTATAGTTGTAACGAAACAGACGTACCGATTGATAATAGTTCTGTAGATCATAGAGGTAAGGTAGCGATTGTGGTTCGTGCGGTTTGCTAATACGCGGTGTAGGGATCCCAGTAACCGTCAGCACCTGCGTAGTCGAACCGAGGAAAATTCTCATAGATCTAGACGAGCGTCCTACTGCATGCGTTCGCAGGATGAACCGGAGAGAACCACCCTGTCGATAAGCGAATTTTCCATTTGATCACGCGAAACACCCGATGGAATCGAGGTACAGTTCAGATCTTAGGGTCGCTAACAGATCATAGACAAATTGTCTTAATAACAACCGTTTCGGGAATAACCCGTTAGTATTGTATCTGAGTAAGGTGTAGAAGGGTTTTAGGCAATAGTTAATTTAACGTTCCTTCCGGCAGGTCTTCGATCATGGACTGAGGAATATCATTTAGCAAGACGTTGATATTCTCATAAACGAGGAGGAGTTTTCGCCTGTGCATCATTCTTTCTTTCAGCATCGGCTTCTTTGAGTTTGGCATGACATACCGTCTGAGGATACCGTGCACATGCCTGGGGCAAGCGATATTTGGGAATATTCAAAAACGTATGCAATAATGCTGTACAGATCTGTGCAATGATTCTTCTTTAATTGATGAAGGCTTCGCAAATCGGAACCCGTATTTGTAAGTAAAGACATGCACATCTGCAATATACGACCGTGCGAAGTTTCTCTAAACGTAATAAGCTTCGAGTGCATAAAACACTTTCCAATACAATGCAACGTATACACATATATATATTCGTTGAAGCATATAATTAGCTGTACGCTCTTAACTAATAATAACCGTACGAGCTATTCTGCACAGCTGAATAAAGACAGCGAGAGAATACGCAGGTATCTGTATATTTAAAGAAAAAAAAAAATTAGAATCCTTCTTAAGTTCCATATATCTTTGTGGGCTATCTCCTATATAAGATTATATCGGATAGGCGCATGTTTACAGAAAGAACTGTAAAAAAATGTCAACCGCGTCGTGCGGATCCAAGGGATTTATTTTCACAGCCACAATGATACATTACAAAGACATCGATAGACTTTAGCTAGCCTCGATATCAGATCGTTGTCCACTCGGTGTAGGTCTGGTTTTATGTTATAAGGAGAGCGGTTCAATGCTAACAACGATCGATGATCGGGGGCAATAACGAATTGAGAGTCGTGAGGTTATTTTCACACAAATATGCTCGTTGAAAATGGGTAGGATACAGAGGAGAAAAGGATTCTCTTGCAGCAAAAATGTCGCAGAATCGCTTTACGTTTTTGGCTTCCTTGAGCCAAAAGCCCCTGTTCCATTGGAAGCGCTGATGCAGGGGAGACTTCCTCTGGGTAACGGATATAGATGACCTTACGTGACCGGCGTCACGTCTTACTCTGAACGCCACGAGAGTCGTCCAACTTTTCCAGATATTCACATAATACAGTCATATATATATATATATATATATATATATATATATATATATATATTCGTAGAAGGTTACGGATGCTTGCGTAAGCATGAATGTACTTGCAAATAACTGCGAATGTAACCGTTGAAATCGGCTCTTGACAGCAACCGACCGTTAGCCAGGGGCTGTTAGACCGAAGTAGTTGCGCAAAGAAGAATGGGCCGAAAGGCCCTGTCCTAACGTGCTAAATAATGCGACTAATATAGGGATAGATAATAGGGAGTTCGTTGCCGTACACCAAATAAGCTTGACCCTGTCACTCATTAAGGTAGGGTGGAGTTTTATATTGAGTTGTCGCTTATTTTAATACACATCATGATGCTTCTGGCTGAAAAGTTAATATTATACAGAATACTGCCCACATTAACAGAGTACTTACGAGAGCTAGATTATCTCGCTACATTTGAATACAGCGACAGAGAAAAACATGAAGACTAAAGGTAAGGGGTCCAGGGGCTCGGAAATTGACCAGCCGAGGAGGATGCGGAAACACTGACGGCAAAAAAAACATTTAAAAACCTGACCATGAACATCGCGTAAATAGATTAAATATATAGTTATTGGAACGATGGACCGAAAATATTGAATAATCCAATTTTGTACTACCCAGATCACACATAACACATATAATAGGCTCTAACTGGGAATAATTAAATGCTGTATATACAACGAAGTGAAACATTGCAATATACTCGGCTCGTAGTAACGGTGATGCTTCTGACGACGGGTGATTTGCTTACATTTGGCCGAGCTTGCAACTAGAAAGAGCTCGAAGAACTGCATATAGCTAGAGACAAAAAGGCCAATGATTTCTTAACGCGTGTTAACGAGCCTGTTATTTATGCTTATGCGATTTCAGGCGAGAGTTTACGGTTTTGCAGCAGCGTATCAACATGCTGCACGCCCCAACTGGAGGACCAGTTATCAAAGGAAGTCAAAATTGCCTTCTCTGAGAGCTTGCGGAAGGACTTCGGCAAAGCAAAAACAAAGATGGCCTCACGAACAGCCAAATTTGATGAATTTTTCCAGGTAAATGAGATGAAAAAAAGTACGGGATATAATGAGGTCATCTGTGTAAACTGCTAATTTCTCTGGAAAACACTGACCCAGTCCAGTTCGCTCATAGGAAGCGCGAGTGTGAAACGTAATATTACGCTGGTGTTCCGTTACTAAAACTAGAAAATTCTATTATTAAACATCAATCAAACTGATAAACGCCATAAATCAATATTTTCGACTAAACAAAATCAACAAATAGAATAAAAGTACATGTTTTTGTTTGTAGACATTTAAATATATATGAGGCATGCAAAATCTGAAGCGAGCGTGAAAGCGAACGTGCTTCCTGCCATGTTATGGTAAAGAAAGCTGTACCATCCTTTCTATTGTTTTAGGTTACACTGGTAAACGGTCGTGTCACAGTTACACTGCTTAAACATGTATGAAACAATTCCGATATTCAACACGGTGTCCCTATGACATCTCAATTAATTGCTACTCTTCCTATTTGTAATGTTAGACGCTTATCTCCAAATCGCAATCGGATTTCAATGTCATGTTCAAGAAGACTTATGGAATCCAATACGAGCAAAACGCCGATCTTTTCTCGCGAATGTTCGATTCACTGACCAAGTATTACACTCAAGGGGGGATCAATCTCGCCGAAAAGATGGACGACTTCTTTGTCGAGCTGTACCAGAAGATGTTCCTGGTAAGTGACATAGGTACATGTTACATAGTGTCTTTCGATGTATCAAATATAATCAGGTCAATATAATTAAAAGCTTCGCGAAAAAAAAAGAAATAATTTTAACAAAACTTATGTTTACTTAGCTACTTAAGCTTCATGCGGCATGAAATAGAACGCTACTACTTGTTTGATAGATAGCGTAACCTTCTCATACAATCTTTTCTCTGTTTGTATTGATCCGCGACAGTAACTTTTCTTCATGAAGTCCAAAACATGTATTCACTTAAATTTTGTTCTATGTTGGCCCAACAAGAAAACGTGCTCGGACTCCGCCTCCTGAAAGAGCGAGTTGTATATATTTTATTTTCCTTAGGATGTCTCCTTCTTTAGCTACTATTTTCCGTCAACAAACGGTTGCCAGGAGTTTGGCTACGACCTCTGTTCCTCGTCCGATCCAGTTTCTGCCATCTTACCAAGTGTTCGCAAGGCCTGGCCCTATTTTACTTTCATGGACTAGTTTGGCCAAATTGCTTGAGAACTCATGTTCCGAAAATAGTTAGAGACGACAGTTAGACCTGGCCAAGAAGTCACTGTTCGTACCATGAGGCTGAAAGAAGGGTCGACCAACAGTGGCGTCGGATATTATACATAGCAAGCACTGACGTAAAGAAACAAAAGGAGCCTACGAAAGAAAGAAGGCGACGGAGGAGGGGCTTAAGGGGGCAACTAGAACATATATGTGGAACGGATAGCTCTGTTTTTCCTGTGGGGATCCTTCTTATACCAGGTTAGGCGTTTTCTCCGGACCTACACATTGGTATATATATATATATATATCTAAAGAACTGGCATACGCTCGCTTTGTTTACTTGAAGTCGTCATCATTTCACTCTCGATGAACGTTGTACTTCGATGCGCTCAGAGAAAGACTAAAAAAACGCAGAGACGAAGGAATAGCAGCAACGGGTAAAAGAGGTAGAGGAGTTTCACTATTTCAAGTATTGGAGATCACTTTAGCATGAGGGCACAAGTTAAAAGAACGCCAGATAGTAAGCCGCTGCCATCATCACTACTGACTTCATGGACCCTTGCCTGTAAATGGGCTTTTGCAGATTCGTTTTGGGCTAATGGTGGGATCGTGTTGAGGCTGGGATGATGCATTAGTCTTCCTCCTATGGAAAAGTGGGAAAGTCTCGGAAGAAGAAGCTCTTTGTGCAGACCCAGATTGCTGGTTAACTCTAAGAGGAAAGGAAGCTAGGATTGCAAGTTTATCATGCTAGGTCGTCCGTAAAGGTAGAAGATTTCAGTCATCGACCGCAAAATAACCCGCCAATCGTACCTTCTCTACACCTCGGATTTCTTCGGTACAAAACTGCATTGGGACCGAAACTAGTATAAAAAATAAACAGGAAAAGCGCAGACCTTCAGGGGCGTTGGGCTGACCTAGGAAAGCCCTCAAAGAGAAGAACAGAGCGACGCCTGCATTCAATAAAGACACGTAGCGTACTTTTTCTCTTTCACACCCACAAAGGTGGCTGTGTAACAGCAATACGAAACCCCGTGCGACGCTCCGGGGTCGATGAAGCAGTGTAGAACCAACAACTAAATGCGGATTTATTTATTGTGAAACTGCGGTGTATCGCCTCTGGTTCCGACTTTATATACACATTTCTGGCTAATTTCGTTGTATTCGATAAGGTCCGACATCTCTGTTTTTATTCTGGCGGTTATTAGAAACAAGCAAAGTAACTTTTGGGGTCCGTGTGAAGCAACCCGATGTAAATGTACGTATATAAAGAAAATAAAACGAGCAATTCCCTATGAGACACGATAGAGTAAGGGTCGTATTGTAATAAACGAATAGTTTACATTTTCGAGTCAAGCAAAAAGGCTGCATAGCAGGGGGCAAACAGCGACATGGAGACGACAAGGCAAGTTTCAAACAAAGCCAACAGCGCGAGCCCCGGTGCCAATGCATCACCACCAGACGTATGGGCGCCAAGCGCGAGCATCGCCCAGAGCGCATACCATGAAGACGATCTCTATGATACGCTGCAAACGCAAGTGCAGAGCATGAGTGCGCCTAGGGCCATGACGAAGTAGCAAATTTGGCGAGCCCGCTACTACGTGACGGCGGCAACCGCATAATGCCACAGACGCATAAAAGGAGCACGTACGCGGCTGTAAAGTCGGTCGCGACGACGAACTCATACTAACGCTGGGAGAAGCCCAGTCGATTAGAGCGGGAACCCGTCGGACCAAATACCAACTGGAGAGAAGCAACAGACTGAACAGAATTTATAGGAAATCGTATTGGCTATATAATAGAAAACTGTAATGACAAACCTGCCACCTGTTTTCGGCGGCTGCAGTAGACAAACTAATGGTAGGCGAAAGAATCGCAGAAAAAAGAGCGTCAGCGAACCCACGGTGACTGATAGACGGACGTGTGTAGCAGATGAAAAAGAAAAAGAAGAGAATGAAGCAACCTAAACTCACGTAGTACCTAGATGCGTAGTAGAATTGAAAATTGTTTCGTTTCGACCAGCCTTTTACCGTTATTTTCAGAGAAAAGTAGCACTAGCGATCTAGTCCGATTGTAAAATATTATAACCGAGTCAGTCTCCAACTTGCGTCGTTTGAAGAAGGAAAGTAGTTCTAGCAGGACGGCAGATGCTAGCAGATAGTAAAGAGTAAGACACGAGGACGTTGGTAATAAGGAATTTTAGTGAAAGGAGAACCTGCTGCCTTGCCAGTCGTTACGATCGCTGAGGAAGTTATGAAAATTGGCACGGGCGTTATACAAAGGGCGAAATGCGCCTGCAGATAGTGGTTTCCAATTAACAAGGTTTATATTAATGACTTTTGTTAGTTTGTCGGTCAGCCATTCCGTAATAATTACTTTATCGAGCAATAATCTGTATAATCGCAGAATTCCGTGTGAAGTGATTTTCTACAAACAGCTAACGTCCTCAACTTTTGATCAGCAACGTACAAATGCTACGAAGTCAACAGCCAGCGGCCTAGGCTGCACTATTTTCGGTGGTAAAGCTTTAGCACATTATAAACCTAATTGGTGTACGCAGAACCATCCAGCATCGAAAAGGTTGACAAATTGATTACCGTTCTTTGCCGCTATCAAGCAGCTGTGCGCTATAACGAACGGAAAATACCATCACGAATAATCGACATCAGGCGATTCCTAGAACTATTACTCTCTCATTACTTGTACTTCCTTCTATTTTAGGTTCTGCTGCTAAGCCTTCTGTTTTCCTGCCATTTTCACTCCTTCCCGCCAATGTCCCCTCGATAGGGGAAAGACCGAGCGGCTGTATGCTGATTTCGTTAAGTAGCTCCCTCTTGACATCATTATCAAGAGCACCTCGTAAACAGGACTATATAGGATGCGCTTTTGACGGTTTGCAATGACAGCTTATACTGAAGGGAAGACCGTTAAGAACGGTCCGCTTGCTACACGCGGTGGTAGATGTTGATAAAGAGCTGGAATGCCTTCAGCGGTCTCATTGCTATTTATGCAAGACTAAAAACATCGTGAATAATCAGTGGAGAAAATAATCTGCTGCGGCAAAATTTTGGCATCATAACTATGCGGTGCACTCTATTGACTCATACGGACTGAAACGTATGTCAGAATTCTGTATAATAGTACTTATTCAGACCAGTGTTTGTCAATACACATCATTAATATGTTGTCTGCTCTATACTGCCTCGTCGTACTATGTTTACTTCCTCGTCATTGTTTATATGAGTACAATGTGGCATACAGATATGTATACAATCGTATGTTGTTAAACTTACACAAATTTTTAATTGTCCACAACAGCGTTTGAATCGGTGGCATACATATACTACTTTGTAATTGCTAAAAGTTGCATTATAGTTTCCGAATCGAAACATCACGTTCTTAATAGATTCCCTGTGATCAGGATTAGCAATAAGTACTAATTCGAATTTATTCTCGATCGTTTTTTGCCAATTTTTTTAATCGTTTTATAGGTGCTAAATTCGCAGTACTCGATAACGGAAAAGTACCTCAACTGTGTCGGGGGTACGATGAAGGACGTACAGCCATTCAAAGAAGTTCCAGACAAGTTGATCCAGCAGATCACGAGAAGCTTCGTTGCTACGCGTGTTTTCGTGCAAGCTCTAGGAGTGGGTCGCGACGTGCTTGCTGTCAGTACTCAGTCGTTACTATCGCACAAAAGCTATTTTGATCATACACATAAAACAACTTCCCTTGGTTTATTGCAAAGGCGATGGCAAATCTTACCTAGGCACTCAAGTCTATTTTAGTTAATTTTAATCTACTGTAGCTTAATGTCACTGCGGCTTTATAAGAAAGCGTAGTTTACCTGTGAGGGTGCATAAAATAGCTATACATATATTCTTGGTTTTTGTCGTCGAAACTGCAGATGCTGAACGAACGGCTTGAGCCATCTTCAACATGTGCTCAAGCGGTTTCAAAGATGCACGTTTGTCCGAGTTGTAACGGCTTTCCCGATGTGAAGCCCTGTCCAGCATACTGCGAAGCAATGGTTAGCGACTGCATGGCCGATGTCGTCAAAATGAACGCTCTCTGGAGTAAGTTCATTGATACGATGATCAACTTAGCTAGCCGCATGGAAAAACAATTCAATATTGAGGAGGTTGTCGAGCCAATTGACCTTAAAATTTCCGAGGCCATCATGAACTTCCAAGAGTCTCATGAAGAAGCCATCAAAAAAGTAAGTATCAAGCTACATAAATATTAGTTTTCAGCAGAAGTTTCGCGTATGCATCCTAACTGCCATAAGTATAGCGCTTAGTTCGACAGAACTTTGCTATTGATACTGCCTACAATAATAAAAATAGCATTTTTGCTCTGCCATATGGGTCGATTATTCCTTGAAAAGTCTAATTTTGACATGCGACCTTCTGTTTGATCTCGATTGGTATTTTCAGATCTACAAACAGTGTGGTAATCCTCAGTTTCGAAGCAACAGCGGTGGTGACACCATGAGCGCCGTAAGCCGAAGTTCTTCGCTGACCGCTGGACTCACGAGACACGAGCGAATGCGCAGGAGTCCAAGCGGCAGCAACTGGTCCTCATCGGACAGATCTCGAGCCTACAGTAGCAATCGAGAATTTTCGCACAGTCGAGCCAACAGCATGGCGATGTACGGCGGAGCACTCGGCTCACCTAACGGCGCTCATAGCCGAGGAAGCGGAGGGAACAGGAAGCGCTCAGATAATAACGGTCTCGAAAAGCATATCGAAGCTATCAAAAAACAACTGCAAAATATGCGACCGTTCTTCAGCCAGCTGCCGCAACGTATCTGCAACGCCGCCAATAAGGATCATGCACAATCAAGCCCTGGTAAGTGCGACCGACTGACGCAGTGGCTCTAATCTCGGATTTCGTTACTTGCAAAAACACTGAAAATAGTTATGGGTATGTATGGCCGTTATAAACTAATAGCGATTTCAAGTTTCGATTAAGCTAACAATCGATGAGCTGAAACTCAAAACGATGTTGATCAAACCACGGATGAGCTTTTCTTTTGTTCTGTTGCTTGAAGTTCATCCTGCTTGGTTCGCAAACTAATAGATATCTTAATATTGTCCGTATACTGAACCTGCAGTGATATATCGTCTTTTTTATTATGGTTGGCGTTATTTTCATTATAGGGAACGGACCATTTGCACTAGAAAGCTAAACATTTTGTTCTTATTTCACAGATGCCGAATGCTGGAATGGATCGGAGAAAACGCGTAATATTAACTCGACGTCAGGTCTATCGGAAAATGGCAATGGTGGACGGTTGAGATCGTCTAGGCCGTCGAAGGCTCAAAAAAGTCTCGTGTCGCGTCAGATGGACCTCTTGAAAGTTATCATTAAAAAGCTACAACTTGCTTACGATGGCAAAACGGTGGAATGGGGAGCCGTCGAAGAAGATAGCGGTTCTGAGGCAAGCCTACGCTCAGATGTTGAAGGAAGTGGTGATATCGAGGGTAGCGGAGCTGGTTATCATTACGCTGGGTCAGGGGACGAACGTCCTCCAGACGACCCTGACCTTGAGGGTGGAGATGACTCTGACGATGTGTAAGTTTTTCAATCTATATCAAGTTTTTTCCGTTGTACGGCATTCTACTCGCCACTCAGATCATCTCTACAATATGACCCTTCTTTTATGAATAAGTGCTCCTGATATGATTCTAACTTTTTCTATTATTTGCTGATCTCAAATCAGGGGCTAAGTTTACCTAATGACCATGGGCGTTATGCAAAACGTACAAACATATTTAAAGCGTTTGTTTTTAGATATATGCACATATGATGACCATAATTTTGGTACACCTAGAAGCTCTACCTGGTATGACATGCCGATGGTTCACTAATATATGCATTTCTGTAAGTGCCAGACGTACTTGTCTTCTCATTACGTTCTAGGTGTCGACTAGATATTTCTTCAGCTGCAATACATGCACTTACCGAAAGTGCAGGACCTTAATCATAGTCATTATTGTTCATTATATTACAATCCTAGCTTAAATCCATGGCCAGTCGGCATCTGTCAGAATACTCATCAAACTTCTCCATGTGCGTAATAATAATTTCAGTGTACGGCCTTCGCATCCTCCGCCATCACAAGCAACCACAGGAGTGGCGTCGACATCCGAAGATCTATACTTTGCCCTGCAAACGACAGTGGCGCCACCGCCAGGTGGCGCACGTGGGCAAGGGCCCAACCCGTCGGGTAGGCCCGGCGGAAAACGAAGAATCAACGGACGCAAGAAAAAGAAGAACGGGCCACTAAAAGCAGGCGCTCCCGAGGGCAGCCCCGCCGCTACGTGGCATCAGCACAGTACACTACTTGCCATCACATCGCTTTGTGCAGCTATCACGTTGACGCACACGCTGGCGGTCACATGGTGGCGATTGTAAATTAATAAAAAGATTATTATCACGTACAATACGAATCAATGACGGATGATTGTAAATCATCGATATTGCATTAGCCATGTAGAAAAAAACGAATCAAGTAAACAATACAGAAGAAGCCTAAGAAGTATAACGAATAAGAAAAACTTAAGCAAGCATATGGAGAACACGAAGAGCAACTCAAGAAAACGACCAACGCTTCATTTTGTAGGAGAGAAAGAGAGCGAGAGCGGGAGAGAGAGAGATAGGGAAAGGGAGGGGGGATAGGGAAAGGCATGAAAAAGAAAAAGCCTGGGAAATGAAAGGTTCGAAAGAAAGGGCAATATCTAGTGTAGGCAATTGGTAGTCGGCTACGGAACAGTTGCACAGCCGAGGGAGGTAAGAACGAGAAGCAGTGGAACCTACATGCTTAGAAACATTTTTCATTAAACTAGTGGATGTATATTCATCGTGGGGTATACATAATAAGAAACTTAATATTGATAAAAATACTGAGGTCTGATTGCGCAGTCGCATGTTGCGCCTTACTAGTACACGAAACCAAGCAGTGCGCTACAGCATATCTCTTTTAGGGGGAGGAAAAAAGCAGGAAACATTGTGCAAAACTGCAGACAGTTCCGTCGAGCAGTTTCGACCAGGCACACACGTACAAGGTGCGTGCAAGTAAATTGCTCGCGTGATCTCGTAAGGATATTTTAAACACAATATTAGAATGAAAAAAGCTCGAAAGAGTGGTTAGACTGGTTGGTTCGTGGCTTCTTCATAGGTCCTCTCAAATCCAATCGTCTCTCCTTTGTAAATAGCTATTATTATAAATGTAACAACTGCAGTTGAAAATGTGACAGAGCTTAACGTACGTACAAAGGGAGTAGAAGACACGTACACGCGCGTTAACGAAGAGGAATCAACGTAACTACAACGAAGCGTAAGGCTCGTGAAATTAGCTGTATGAGTTCAAGGTACTGCAGCGGATGGGCTGGAGGAAGCAAAACATAAAAATGTCATTTAATGAGAGCTGAAGCGTCCTGGGCACAAAAACATGCCGTTTTTGGTGGGCTGGTCGTATAGTCCTTTAGCATTATCTTATTATTACGTCATATCGGATTGTCATGGAGCAAAAATTGTCCGTGATATATTTTTTTCATTCGTTTTTACACCGACTTCTTGTATTACTGACCACTGAAAGACCACGACTCTAGTGAAAGATTGTAATGAAAGCAAAATAGTTACAATTAATGGCTATCAGTGATTGTGATTACCGGTACAATTCTAATGATCGGTTCTCTCACTTAGACACGAACGAAACCAACAAAAGTAGTATTACTTAAACGTGACCGTTGTAGTGAATAATAGCTATTCTAAAGACAGCAGTTACTTAAAGTTATATTATAGTGCGTCATAATTTTATTTGGATTATGTCCTTCAACAATACATTCTAGCTAAAGTTTCGACAAAGGGTGGCTACGGTCGTTTTTATCGCTGTTTTATACTGGAGTCTGCCGGACGTCAAAGTATATACCTCAAGGATCGTCACTAAAAATTTACATTTATTTCATATGGACTATTTATTTTGTGAGTTAATCACTAGCCATAGCGGGCCTACTCGAAGCAAGTGGGCACAGGCCAACAGAGCAAGGGCGATATGATGCTGTGGCAACCACATTTGCAGACAGCGCTAATTCTAGAAATTGCAGCGAATATTATGATGATGATTGTGCTGACAATGATATAAGCGAGAGAAACGGAAGACGAAGCTAACAGGACTTCATGAAGCATGTTTATTATGTACATTGTTGTGCAATGTGACCTTTTGCTGCCCTCATTTGCGAAAACGAATTGTCGCCAGAGTTGTCGACGTAAAGGGAGAAGCCGACCATTCAGGGCTACTGTAATAAGCTTATATGGAGATTTATTAGTATTTAATGCCCCTGTCGTAAAAAAGTAATGCTAATGGAAAAAAATGGCTGACCTATAATGACACCGAATAAAAGTAGAGATACTTCTAATAGGTAGAAGGTATAAGGAAAGCGTAGAAAATGGAGATACGCTCTTGAATTAGGAAAATATATATGGGTCAGCCATTTTGCAGCTGGACGCTTATGCGATCCGGCGGCGACATTCGCAGTAAATCGGTCATTTAGTCCCTCACCGAAGAGATGCTGGTTATACCCGAAATATGGGTGAAATGGCATCGGTTGTTATTACGACCTCTGGACATAAGGGAAATAAGTAATGAGGACACTGAAGAAGATAATTATATTAATGATATTGATGATATGATAAAACATCGTTGACCATCTTCTTACACAACCACAAATTCCTCTCGCAAGCCTTCAAACCTAACTTAGGCCATTACATTTCCATATCACCTGATTTTCGTTCTCGGGCAGATTAATTGTTTGGTCTCTCTATATTCAGAGCTTAAAAAATTTGTCCTATACTGTGTTTTCATGACATATTTGTTCACCGTGATTTTGACACATTGAGTTCCATTTGTGTTCTTTGTGACCAACTGGCTTGATGACATAGTATGCCATTGTTCCGTTTGTGACCACCTGTAGTTCACACTTGTAATACGGCACTTCGTTTAGGAATCAATTTAAGGCCAGCTCCCGCTCCATACTTTAATCCTGAGTCAGTTTCTCCTTCGTAGAAATACTTCTTTACCACAACTCATGTTTGCCTTTGCTCCTAATCACCTGTGAAAAACCAGATGCCTGGTCACTACAGATAAGCTCTAAAACTAACACCTATCGTAACGTCCTATAATCCTATAATTCACTAGCCAAAACTCTAGCCAATATTAACCTTCCAATACACCTTCAGACACATACACTCACATAACCACATATATATCTCCAAACATGCAAATAAAATTCACAAAATATGATTCCATTCTCTCTTTATGTTCCCGTACATACTTTCCGGGAGTGACAGACAACGCTTAGTATCTTGTACGTTGCCTTTTAGGCTTTATAATCCAAAGATCTAACGAAAGAGAGACGTCTGTATTTTCCAACCCTGCATTGACATAGAGCGACCTCTGTGAATGCAGGGTTGTCCTAGCAACGGCTACCATAACCTCATCAAACCACCTAACTAGAAGCGATTTCTGCACTTGTTAATTAACGAAAGTAATTTGGTAGTGCTTCGGGGGTGGGCATGTTTAAATCTTGGTGCTGAAAACAACAGTCCAGAAAGAAGACGTTGGAGGTTATTCATCATGCCCACTTCACTGTTCATTACTTTTTTTTATGTCAGCCTGTATGTCAGCATACATGCCTAGTACACATAAATATACAAATGAACGATTTTATATTTACATATATACACAAGCTATACAAAACTCAGGTTATCCAGTGCAGAGTTCGTTCGAGTTGGTACAGTGAATCTGTTGTTGTGTGCCAGCTGATTTTGTCACTTTTTAGGTGCTGGCAGCAATCGATGCCCGTTTAAGATGGGTTAAAAGTTTTGAACTCTTGATTAGTCTCAAACTATATATTGAGTTTCCCTTATTTCTAACGCAAAATCCACCAGTCAGCATGGCTTACTAATCAACTCGTCGGCTAAAATCTTCATGGAAAACATCTCTGGACCCCTCCCGGGAACTCCTAGCTGCTAGACCTCCTGTTTTCCTCACCCTGTCTCGTCAGCACTAGGCGGCTTGTACGCCAATATTTTTGTTAATGTAGATTCATGTACATAAGAAAGGAAAAGATAAAGAAATAATAAAGGTGGTTGACAAAGGCGTTAACAGAAAGTGCTAGTAGAAGAATCGGAGAGAAACAAGTTGAAAATAACGCTGTAAAGCTATAGTAAAGAGAGTGTAATAAAATCAATGTATGACAAGGAAGAGATTCATAAAAAGAAAACTAGCTAAAGGCAAAACATTTGCATAAATCCGAAAAAAATATGGCGGAAATGAATGATATGGTAATAATAAGGACAAAGATACAGAACAGTGGAACATACTGATGCAGCTTTGATAGAAAAATGTTATGCTAAAGGTCACAGATGTCCTATAAATAAAGTGAAAAAAACACTACAGAAAAAACGAGAAATTATAGACTGAACTAAAAATGCCCACTGGTTTTTTGGCTTGATAATAGCGTATGTTGATAGAGACTCTCTCCTTATCGCGCCGACGTGAGACGACGTAGACTTATACGTAAAAACAAATAAATATAAATAACTTAAGTCAAAAATAAATGTAAATATCACAATAAATCATATGCGAGTGTGTCTCGTCATTTAAATACCTAGTTAAATAGCCAGATGTTATTTTGAACGTACTTTTAGGTGGAACAACTATTTTTGATGGTTTTTATTGATATATGCTGTCTAAATCTACTAAACAAAGGTGGCCATGCGTGAATCGATACTGGTTTAGTCCTATTCGACTTCTGTGTAGCAACGAAATGCAAGCCACAGATGCGCCTGACGGTCCTAAACGCCAGAACTCAAGTAGTGCTCATCTCTTCCTAACACTATGAGGAGCTATTCAAAGTTTTTGTGTTTAGGCTGAACTTCAGACTCGAGTCGCTGCTCGATATAGACACGAACGAACGACTCGTTCCATTCTCCTATGACTGCATTTCACCGATCGCATTGCCGTACTGATTCGAACGCAATGTAAACAAATACCATATTTGACCCCTAGACTGAAATACATTTATTTGTCTAATGTCCATCTTCGTACCAGCTATGTAAAGCAATGCTAAAAGGCTTCGTCACTGTTTTTTCAAGGCCTGACAAATTCTCGACATTGCTGGCCCGAAAGATTACCTTTTTCGCAGGCTACATGAGTTGTTGACGGAGAGGTTTTTCGTACTAGCTAGCGTAAAGCCTATTTTCGCAGATCGTGTATATGTATACAGGTTGTATACACACGCTTGCTATCTCTAGTCCATATGATTATTGTTACTTCTTCGTATATTATTAAGATTGTATAAACTTGACTCTGTCAGCACGACGGTAGGAGTAGCGTTGCCTCTTGACACGGTAAACAACTTCAGTATCCGTT